CAGCCACCTGAAAGCCCACCACGTCAGAGCCAGATGGGTCCCCCGCAAGGAGGAAAGCAGTAACAAAGCAATCTGCCGGCCACGCAGCTCCGGCTTCGAACGCTTAACAGAGAGGCTCACGGGTCATATGATTCAGCCTCACCAGAATCTGGTGCCTTTTGGACTGGGTCGTACAGAAGAGGCTTCCTCGCCGGGAGGCAGAAAAAAGCTGTCTTAATGGAGTGACATACCTGGACATCGTCTCCGCAGAGAGATCCTCGGGATTTCTAACCTTTGTCTCACCTGAGAAGCAAAGCAAATGCAGAGTTTTAACCCGCCGACAAACCCAGTGCATGCCCTTCCTGGGGGCCTTATTTTATTTTTTATTTAAAACATTTTTTACCCCGCCTTTTTCCTTGAAAGGAGAAGTCAGTGGCTAGAGGCTCCCCCGACCCAGCAGAGATCGCTTGGTTCAACGCCACCAAAGACGGATCCTGCCCCCTCTGACTGGATCAGAGACAGCTGAAAGATCCCCCCTCCACCTGCTTTGCTTCAATCACCCACATTGCCCTGGGACGTGTCCTCCCGCTTCCCAAAAAAGACCCTCCCCCATCCTGGATACTTCATACGCATCCTTCAGTCTTGAGAGCCTATGGTAACGTGCTCTGTATGGGGGACTTGGAACAGTGTCTAGTGCGGCTGAGGAGGCCAATTCGAGAGTTACCATCTCTTCCACACTGGAGACAAATCAAATCTGTCCCCTCTCAAACTCCCTGATTTTGCTGGTTTCGGGATGGCCTCTTGGCCTCGGCCTGCTGGACAAGGGTCTCTTCAAATTGGGAGAGGCCATGATGCACCGCCTGCCTCCAGGCTGAACACTCAGATGTCTGCAAGCGGGATTTGAAGGCTTTGGAAATGGATCTCCTGGATACTGTGAGCCATGAAAATCGGTCCAATCTGGCTACTGTGGACCCACGTCTTGGCTACCTCCAGAAAGGACGACTGCGCTCAACAAGGGAATGGTCCCCAAAAGGTGAAGAGCCTGGGATCAGACAGCTTGTACAGAAACAGTGGCCAGCTTGGAGGAACCACACCATGGGATGCATCCAGCCCAATGAAAGGGACTGACATGAAATCAGCTTTTATTCTGTTGCAGGACAAGGCAGGGCGGGGAGACCCAAAACCCTTCTTTTCACTCAAACAAAGGGCTTGAACCCATTGTTGTGAAGCTTAGTCATGCTTCTCGGAACCGTCCGGCGTGTGATTCATTCTCTCTCTCTCTTTGTCAAATCTACAGTTGCCAAACCAGAGAAGGCTGCCGTAAGAAAGGCTGCAGGATGAAAACCTTCCAATGGAGAAGGTGGCATTTGATCAAATCTGTCACTGCCCCCTTTCAGCTATGTTGTTTTTACTCTTTCCGCAGGTCCCCGGCTTCGCTGTATTTTGCATGACTTTTTTACTGGCTGCGTCTCACTCTGTGTGGTAGGAGTGGGTCCCAGGGCAAGACGTTTCTGGCCGAAGGTATTTCACCCACGATAATAATTTCAGAAATCACTCACAGAGAGAGAGGCCGTTTGCATTTAAGATCAAGAGAAACTGAGAGAAAGGCTGTCGAGCCGTGCGGAGAGGGGTGTCGGTTTGGGCTTTGTTTTTTAAAAGAATGGCTTACCATGTCCTCTCAGATCCAGAGCGACGATCCTGCACTGGATCCGGCTGATGATGGCAGCCTGCAAAGAGAGACTAATTGTGAAACGGTAATTTGGCCGTCCAGGATTTTCATTGCTGTATTTCTCTTAATCGGCTTATACATGCAGGTTCATCAGTCCAGGAGCACCCCTGTATGCGCGGGAGATTGGTCCCAAGCCCCCTCCTCTAGCAAATAACGGAAAATGCAGATTATACAGCAAACACTACAGTATTTTAATGGCAAATACTATGCATAACATGATCTCTATCCCCCTCTAGTGGCCAGGTCTGGAAATGACACCACAGAAATATATTTCTCTAGTAAATGCTATACTGTACTGTACATAGCATTTTGACCCAAATCCGGGAGGCAGTGGAAGACAGGAGGGCCTGGTGTGCTCTGGTCCATGGGGTCACGAAGAGTCGGACACAACTTAATGACTAAACAACAACAATATATAGCATAGTCTCCAGTTCCCTCTAGTGACAACTTCACCTTCTGAAATATATATTTCTAGGGTTTTTCTTTTAATATTTTCAGACTGCGGATAAGTGAGCTAGCGGATACCGATCCCGCAGATACAAAGACCCTATTGTATTACAAT